TTGCAAGGAGGCAAATTGCTGGGAGGGAGAGGCAGATATTTTCCCCTTGTTTTCCTTCCCAAAAGCTAGGTGCGTATTATAATAATTTAGAGCGTCTTATACTTCGGAGCGTCTTCTACTCCGAAAAATACGGTATATACAAGCTTGATATTACCACCAATAACATTAGGTTGAAATCCTTGTGATTCTCATATATCTTAGATGGCCATAACCTCCACTGTGAGCGATCAGAGCTTCTCAAGGTTGTAGCCTAAAGTAGGGATCCCCAACATCCGGTCTGTGGAATGACACCAGTCCATGGCATGCCAGAAACCGGGCCATACAAACAAGCGAAACCCCATCCGTAGGATGCAGGCAGCATGTGAAACCACGCCCCCTCTGGTCTGTGGAACAAAACTCTCTCCATGCAACCGGTCCCTGGTGCCTGAAAGGTTGGGGGCTGCTGGCCTAAAGCATCTAAGTGAAGGTTTGGGAATATTGGAGTTGACCAAAATAAAGCCACGTTTTACAACATCCTGGCTAGAATCTCTGGATTCTGGAATGTGATATGCCATTTCTTCAGATGTTTAAACATACTCATTTCCCACAGGTGGATCGTTACAGCTATAATGGATGATTTAAACCTGCACTACAGATTTTTAAATTGGAGGAGGAGGATCCGGGAGATTCGAGAGGTGCGAGCCATTCGTTACCAAGAGAGGTTCAAACACATCCTTGTTGATGGAGACACATTAAGGTAGTGTGTCATTTTTGAATGTTGAAAGAAACTTGAATGGGAGACATCTATCAAATATTTAAACAAAGAGCAGAGAGTGCTCAGCATAGGAAGGGTACATATTTTCTACTACTCAAGCACATTTAGGATTTCTACTTTGTCTGAAAAGAAGGTTTAATGTTTACAGTTTTTTAAAATGTGGAAGAATAAATCCATTGAATAAATATGAGCAATTAAAGACAATGTTTTATAGTGACATTCTGCCAAAAATTATTTTAGCCACTTGAATAGCATTACCTAAAGCAAGAATTTCAGAATATTTTAGTCTCCTGACCAAAATATGGAGTTGCCTTTGAAAATGCATCTCATTTCGTATTTCTTTAATAGTTTGGCTAATCTCCAAACTCTAGTCACCTTAATGAGAACTACTTTGGTGTAGTGATTAACGCCTTGGGCTAGAAATGGGGAGACCATGAGTTCTAGTCATGTCTTAAGCTTCAAGCCAGCTGGGTAACCTTGGGTCCAATCATTCTCCTGACATCCTAAAATGCTGCTTAGACCAGTGTTTCTCAACCTTGGCAACTTGAAGATGTCCGGACTTCAACTCCCAGAATTCCCCAGCCAGCAAATGCATTTGCTGGCTGGGGAATTCTGGGAGTTGAAGTCCGGACATCTTCAAGTTGCCAAGGTTGAGAAACACTGGCTTAGACAACTATAGAGACTAGTCAGAGCATCTGATCCCATTCCATAATTAATCATAATTAACTTAAAGTGATAAATTAATACCTGTAAGGGTTTTTTTCCTAATAAAAAAGATACTCATTTCAAATTATAAGTATTCCGTGTTTTAATTTTGCATTTGTTTGCTGGGTTTTTGCATTCTGTACATACACACATATTGTGTGTGTATGTGTTTGAACAATGTGAATTCTGTAGTTTTACATCTGAGTTAGCAACCTTTAGAACCTCCTTTGCTAGTTAGTTTTTGTGAGATCTTGCTTCCAGTTATCTTACAACAGCAACATTAATTGGGGAGGGATGTGTATTTTATCCCATCTTTTGCAAGGATGATATAATGCTTAATGATGCTCTGTTTCTTGCTATTGTTTGGATAATTAAATTCTACTGGGACTCTTAGTACTTGTATTGGCGTATGAGTGTGACACAAGATATATTTATTGTATTTATTTTTCACATTTCTGAACTGCTTATCTCCCTCAAAAAGAGATTTTTGAATCCCAGTATACTTTTGATCCCAAGCTGTTACCTAAAAAGCTGCAAATCTTTTTTTTTTTTTTAAGAATTGGAGAACTCTGGTTCCCATTATCTGTCTGAAATGACTTTGCGAGTGATTAATTCCTCTTGTTGCTATTAAGCACAGAAACCTCGGAAACCAAATATTGAGGGAAACTAAACATCCCTAGGCTAGAATGTTATTTGTTTTCTCTTGAAGATGCTTCTGGCCAGTTAAATATGAATATTTTTAGGGATGAGCAGAATTTTAGTTGTGAAGATCTATAGCCTAGCTTTTGCATCTTCCCTGGCATCAGTCATCCATTCTTGTTTTTTCTTTTGTTCTTTTGTAATGTCACCTATTTTGGCTTGAGTATTGGAGAACCGGACCTTGTATCTTTTCTGCAGTTACCATGGGAACTCTGGAGAAGTTGGTTGTTACGTTGCTCCTCGCCCGCTGACCAAAGACAACAATTATTTTGAGGTAACCGGTTTAGCTCACCATCTGGGAAGTCACTTTCAACATTACTCTTCTTAGAGACCCTTCTCTGACATACTGTCCTTCCTTCTCTTTTTATTACTTCAGAGAACAAGCGTAGAACGATTTGATACTAATTGTACAGAGGCAGAGTTTTGCTAAACATTGATTGATTTTAAAAGATTTTCCAACAAGGGGAGATATTTGACTGTAGAACAGTTGCCGTTGATTGTGCTAAATTTTCTTTCATTTTCTTTTAATGAGATGGAAGAGAAACATAAAGGAGCAAATCTTTCAGCTATATTTAGTTCGTTTAGCTAAATTAAATTTAGTAGAGTATAATAGAAAACGCCCCCCCCCCAGTTCTGTTAACATTTGGGGATACATCCTGTGACCTGTCACTCAATAGCTCTTGACCCAGAATGGTTGTGCAACATTGGACCAGGNAAAATTTGCCTCTTCGAAATCTTGGTGTGTCTTATACTCTGGTGCGTCTTATATGCTGAAAAATACGGTATTTCAAATACTGAATCATACTTTCACCATATGAGTGGCTTGGATTAACAGCCTCTACTGCTCTCCATAAAACATGGCTTGATCGGAGCCTATGACAAAGATAGGCTCTATAAAACACAAGGAATAGAGATTTAGAATAAGTGACAATAGAGTTTACACGCACAATTGAGCCCAAAATTTATGTTGCTAAGTGAGAAATTTGTTGAGTGCGTTTTCACCCCATTTTACTACCTTTCTTGCCACAGTTGTTAAGCGAATCACTGCAATTGATTAAAACATAGATGTTATAATAATAACACAGATGTTAAGTGAATGTGGCTTCCCTGTTGACTTTGCTTATCAGAAGCTCACAAAAGGGGATCACGTAACCATGAGATTCTGCAACCGTCATAAATATGAATTGGCTGCCATATGTCTAAATTTTGATGATGTGACCATAGAGATGCTGCAACAGTGTAAATATGAAAAACAGTCATGTCACTTTTTTCAGAGCCGTTGCAACTTCGAACCATCATTAAATAAGCTGTTGTAAATTGAGGAACATCTGTGCATTCAGAGAACAGGGGTGAAATTTGTTAAGTGAATCACTGCAGTTGTCAAATTAGTAGCCTGGGTTCTTAAGTGAATCTGGCTTTCCCATATGGAGACTTTGCTTGTGAAAAGGTCGCAAAAGGGGATCACATGCTATCCCCAAGACTGCAACCGTCATACATCTGAGTCCGTTTAATGTAAATCATGGGGATGCTGCAATGATCATCAGTGCGGAAAAAACAGTCATAAGTTGCTTTTTATTCAGTGCCCTTGTAACTTGGAACCAGAGGTGGCATTCAGCAGGTTCTGATCAGTTCTGGAGAACCAATAGCGGAAATTTTGAGTAGTTTGGAGAACCGGTAAATACCACCTCTGGCTGGCCCCGCCCCCATCTAGTCTCTGCCTCCCGAGTCCAGGCTGATCAGGAGGAAATGGGGATTTTGCAGTAACCTTTCCCTGCCACGCCCACTAAGCCACGCCCACAGAACCGACAGTAAAAAAAAATTGAATCCCACCACTGCTTCCAACTGTCACTAAGTGAGCTGCTGTAAATCGAGGACTACCTGTAGTAACCTGTGCCAGATGTTTAATCTTTCCCCCAGCCAATGCCCGTTGTTGGGACCTGCAGTAACACACCTACAAGGAGTGAGCTGGATTCACACCTACACCCACCCGGCCCCGTTGCCATTGGGCAACCATCCGGCCACCGCTACCCACGCCCTTCCCTTACGTCACACAGGCGACCTCGCCCGCCCGAACCCCCCCGCCCCGCCCCCATCCGAACGCCGTCACTCGCTCCCCATTCATACCTTCCGCACACTTTCCCTCGCTTCCCCATTCACCAACGAGTTCCGGGGAGGCGAGACGTCGCGTCACTTCGGCCTTCTCATTGGCGCGGCGACCTCACAGCTTTGGAGGTTGGAGGGGGGAATAGGGCGGGACGAAGAAAAAAAGGCGGGGAAAGCTGGGGAAAGCCCGGATGTGACCAGGGTGGCAGTCGAGCTCGCCGGGAAGCGGGGCTTGAGTTCATAGCGGCGGGAGAGCGAGGCTGCGGAGGGCGGGGCTGATGGAGGGAGAGCCAGGGCCTCTCGGGGTAAGGGCCGCCTTGGGCACCGGAGCGGCGGTTCGGGGCAGCGGGGTCCCCGGGGAGGCGTCTGGCGCAGGGGCGTGGAGCAGCAGTTCTTCGCGGCTCCAGGATGTCGGCGAGGGCGTGAGAGGCTGGCTGTGAAGGGTGAGGGTCACGGTTTCCTCCGGGTTTGAACGCCGGACGGCTCGGGGAAGCGATGGCCGGTGGGGGTGGTTTCTGACTCTTTTCTAATAGGCCAAATAAAATGGTGCAAAGGAGGCGGGGGGGGGGTTGCTGAACACGTGTCCTTTTCCGCCCTGGAAACCCCAGAATATTACTTCCTGATCGGAGCAGACCTTCTGCATGTTCTCAGAGGCACTGTTTTCCTGGCTATCTTATACGAATTCGGCACTTAAACCTTGGTGCTCCGGGGGCAGCAACGGAGCACTTCCTCCCCGGGATGAGAATGAGTGGGGGAAAAAATAGAATATAAGGGATGTGTTGAATTGATTTCATTTCTTCTCTTTTTTCCCCCTTCCTCCCAGGGAATTTCAGGTGACATTTTAGTTTCATAGCAGGAGGTAAATTTGATGAAGAAATACAGACCCACCCTTAGGCTTATTTGGTGAGCTTTGTAGCCCCCCTCAAAAAAGGGGGGGTGTTTAGTGAAGTTAAGGACGCGGTGGCTCAGTGGCTAAGACGCTGAGGTTGTCAATCAGAAAAGTCGAATCCCTAGCACCGCGTTACGGAGTGAGCTCCTGTTACTTTTCCCAGTTTTTGCCAACCTAGCAGTTCGAAAGCATATAAAAATGCAAGGAGAAAAATAGGAACCACCTTTGGTGGGAAGGTAACAACGTTCTGTGCGCCTTCGACATTTAGTCATGCCAGCCACATGACCACGGAGACGTCTTCGGACAGTGCTGGCTCTTTGGCTTTGAAACGGAGATGAGCACCGCCCCCTAGAGTCAGGAACAACTAGCACATATGTGCGAGGGGAACCTTTACCTTAGTGAAGTTAATTGTGACGTACTCCCATTGCTGTGCT